ATGTCTATGGGCCACAGCAACCACTTACCATCAGGTGGACTGTGTGCTCGTTTGTCACCCTATCCTATAAAAAAAAAATGTAATTTAACTTAAAATAGTAAACAGACAAGGACTCTATCTAATAAAAATACAAATATTACAAATTGTAATTAAAATTTGCATTTTATGTATATTCTTTTGAATTTTCTCTTCAATAAAATTTAAAAATATGTGATGATCGAAAATTCAAAAAATTGTATAATATATTAAAAAAAATATATATTGAAAAATTGTAGCTATACAAGCTTATTTAACAATTTTAGAAGTTTAATTTACAAATATTATAAAGGTGTTACATATACAATTTTGTAGTTTTATTCATCGGTATTAACTTTAAAAATGAGAGCTGTGATACCTCAGATGGTTAGAGCTTACTGTAAGTTTCACAGTACATGAGCAGCCTGAGTTCGATCCCCACCGGCACCAATGAAATTGTTAATTGCAATTTTAAGTGCCGATTTACCACATACTTGGCTGTCTGAGAAATAAGAAATATTTTTTTCCAAGACATGAAGTTCACAAACAAGCGTTGGAGCAGCGCGGCGGACATTTTCTTGCCCTAAATCTTTTCAGAAATGAAAGGAGGCCTGTGTCCAGCAGTGGGACGTATATAGGCTGTAACTTTAAAATTATTTTGCAGTGTTATTTTTACAATTTTGTAACTTTATTAATGGCATTTAATGTACAATTCAACAATTATGTTCCATGTGCACAAATAAATAAATTCTAATTATACTATCTACTTTTTATCAATAGTACCAAGTACTCAATTCTTTGTAATGTGAGAAAAGCTCCAAGCTCTGATAATATTATTAGTCATTAAAGTACAAGTGGCAAATTAAAGAATGAAAATTGAGTTATTTTATTCACAACTAGCTGTCCCTCGAGATTTCGCCCGCGTGGAATTTACTACGATTTCATGTTTTTTTTTTAGCACGGGAACCTAATTCTTCTTCTAAAATAAAAGTATCCTAAGTTACTCCTTATAATATCAGCTATCTGCCCGTCAAAAACGGTTCACCCGTTTCGGAGATAAGCTAGAACATATAGACAGACAGTGACAAAAATTTTAAAAATTGTTTTTTGTTCAGTATAGTTCTAGGGATAGTTGTATGCTGTTACTTTACTTTTAATATTAAGGCGCATGGTTGAGCAAAATGTCGCGCTAGTCGTTATTTGTGCAGTTTTTAGGAGCTATCTACTTTTTATTAAAAAGATATATCAACTAATAAAAAACACATTATATTTCTACATAATCTTGATTCTAATAATTTACACTACAAAAAGCTAATTCAATATTATCAGTATAGTATACAGTTAAAAATAATCCTAATACCTAACCACAATATCTTAGTAAGTTTAGTAATTCGGTAAAAAGTATCTAAGTAGGTATTAATATACCTAACCAGCATAACTAATCACAATAGGTACCTATGTAGGTATTATGATTAGATAAAAGATACTTATCTAAATAGTTACCTACTTTTACTAAGTAAGTACTAATACCTACCCAGGCATCATTTAATTACAACCCCTATTTAACTAAACTAAAAAAATTTAAAACTAAATTTAACTAAAAAAAAAAACTAAACTGACCATTTATTTTTTTAATTCAAAACAGGACATGGGTTTATTTATACTCTAAAAACTATAACTTCGTAAAATTAGTGTTCACTATAAAATTATATTCGATATAGATGGTAATCATTAAATGCAACTTTTTTTTTAATTATAAATTACATTTGTCAGTGGAATAAATTTGCTTTAATAAAGTTGGTAATGATTTTAAATAAGAATAAAATTCTGGGCAAGTTTTTTTATTGTTACCTTTGTTAACAACATCACCTTTAGAACTGGAAGCGTAAGTGTTTTTTTCCGACGTCCACAATTTATTCCAAATAGAAAAATACCCTTTCTACTGGAGCATTTGTACCAGGTAGACATAAAATGTATTTGATTAAAAAAAATTATGTTGAAGATTGTTGGCTTTGAATACTTCCTTCCATCCAACGAGTTACGGGACAATTTTGTGTCCCGGAGCTTTGTTTGGGGACAATGGGACAGGTGACCGAGAAAAGGGACAGTCCCGTTCAAAACGGGATGTATGGTCACTTTACCTATAACCCGGCGACGGCTCCGTAGCGCAGTGGCTTAGCAATCAGTTGTTGCGATGGGAGCCGCGGGTTCGAATCTCGCACGGTACAAGTATTTGTATGGCCTACAAATAATTGTTCTGGGTCTGGATGTTTGTCCTTGTGCAATTTATGTTTGTAAACTGCCTCCACGACACAGGATAAAATCCTAGTGTGGGGGTAATGTTTTTTTAAAATTGAAAGATTGAACCCTTATACTTCTTGTTGATTTTTGTATTACCTTTATTAAAGTAACCCTTATGTATAAATAAATATAATTACGTATGTAGAAATAAAATTAAATAAAAATAAAAACAAACGTTTTTTTTTTCATCCTCATCAATCATTGGGGTGAGGATAATGTCAGCCAGCATAAGTAATAAGCAGGCTAAGTTACAAGATGCTCAGTTCAAAAATTAGTAGGTATGTTACCTTTCAATAAGTGATATGTAAAAATTAACAATAATCAAAAACACATCTGGGAAGCATCCTATTTATTTATTTATTCTTTATTGCACGGAATATTTGTACAAAAGGCGAGCTATCTATCTATTTACCTATAGTGAGTAGGTATCTTTTAAACTCACAATTTTCAATGCTTCATTTTTAATATATAATTAGTTATAAAATATCATAATTAGATAATATATGAGAATACATATTTCTAATATAATGCAACTAATATACTGAATAAAAAAATTTAAATACATTTATCATTGTACGCCGTGTGTATTTCCATAAGATAGTTTATTGATGTTGAAAAAATAATACTACGTTCGTACAATAGGTGACGTCTTGCATATTTCTTACGCGATATATTGTAGCGAATCGGCGCGGCGCACGGAATACTCAAGATCGTTCGCATGGAGTAGCCCCTTAAGAAAATGGGTGTGATTTAAATGGCATTTAGCATAGTATTCATGTTCTTTTCAGCAGAGAAATGTAATCTAGCAGCAGACATAGATCATTGGTCAGGAAACTATGGCTAGCAAACATTATTATATCAATCCACAATTTTCGACATTCTGGACGGCTGTAAATTTTTTACGGCTGTAAAAATATTAATTATATAATTCACAATGAGTGACTCATGTTTATAAAATTTTGATAAGCACTTAGAGGGTAAGCAACTAATCGAAATGTATGCAGCCACCCTACTGCATACCCCCACCATAACCTACTGTTGCTGATATTACTTGATATATATTTCCACCTTTTACAAATTTAACAGTACACCTAAATTTAACCAACTGTTTAAATTTAAATCTCTGGTTATAGACATATTTTCTTTGCTAACCAATCGTGAATCTTGCTGATCAATTAAGTATTTTGCAGTAATTTAGGTCTCTGTTTATAGACATATTTTCTTTGCTAACCAATTGTGAATTTTGCTGATCAATTAAGTATTTTGCAGTAATTTAGCTCTCTGTTTATAGTCATATTTTCTTTGCTAACCAACCGTAAATCTTACTGATCAATTAAGTATTTTGCGGATTGACTGTTTAAAAGGCAAACTCATATTATTGTGCCGAAGGACTTTTTTTAATGCAAACAGAATTTGAATGCTAACCTAAATGGTTTAAATGCTGTTTTTTGTAGTTAACCAAATTTTATTACAGCTAACATTTAATTATTTCGCTAAGAAAATAAGCTTAACTAGTACATACTTACAAAACATATTGTAAATGTCAAATGTCCTATATAAGGGTTATCATTATATAACTGCAAGAAGACTATCCACTCATACCTTCAAAACACATCTTATGACAAAACAGAAAAATACCTGAACTGACTGATTATAAAATAACTAACCTGATTTATCTATTCTCTCACACAAACGCACATGCACACGCTAACACACACGCATATACACACACACAAACATGCACACACATACACATACATTAATTTCTCAATTTTATATTATAATTTGAATAACTAGAAATTGATATAATTGTAGCACTTTTAAATGTATGCATGTAATTATTATATACATAATATTATGGGGATTTAGGCTGTTACTCCTTAATACAGGTTATTCTGTAACCTAGCTAGGAGTGCAGAGCTACATCCACTAGATTAAGGACATGTTTTATAAGATAGTACAAACAATGTAATGTCAAACCCATGTACTACAATCACTTCAATATATTAAAAATTAAAGTGATTGTAGTACATGGGTTATATGGTATTAATAAAGTTATTCTTATTCTTATATTAAAAATCATAAGTACTCTTGTTATTTGATAAAATCAAAAATCCCTTCTTACTTTATCATCTAGTCTGGATTTTTATTCTCATGCCAGTACTTAACTAATCATAATTAATCATAACTATGCAAAATTTCTATAATTTCTATCACAAAAAAAATTTGATAGGACACACCGAGATATTGGAACACAAAATCTACCACCATAAAAGACTTATAAGAACTTATAAGAATGACTAAAACTTCAATAAGTAACTGCATTGTTTTTAAATATTGAAACAGGAATTACATAACGAAATATGTGAGTAAAACATTCCGTATATTAAAAATTATTAAAATTACCATCTAAAAATTTGTTAAAAATAATATTAAAATAATTAGTCTTGCATCTATTTTAGTGCTTAAAATATCTTAGAAAAATACATATTTAATAGATAAGACACAAGAATTATCGTTCAAAAGCCGAATTGATTCACGTTTAATCTCATCAATGTGAATCATATGGGAACTGGGCACCTGGGAAAACTCAGTCGATTACAGCGAAATAACTTGAGTATTCATCTAGCAGAAACATATCACTATTACTATTCAATTAATTTTAAAATTATGATTACACTTACCATCTGTTCTTTTTATGTTGATGTTAATTCCAGACTGGATATTTACTGTACCGTCATCCATTTTTGCACCGTTTTATGCACCACATACACCATATAACATTATTTTGCAACGAGCTATAGTTGAAAATAGTTTAACACATTCGGAAATTACACATGAAAACCGGTGAAAATTACAAATTAATTTCTACACCTAGATTGACAGTTATATCGAGCTAGCTACACACTTCACACTAAAACGTTTAAAATTTATTTCACTACGGAACTCTATTGATAGCCAAATCAATCACAGAAGTATTATATTTTAAATTCAAAGACAAATTGAAAATAGTTAAATCTAAACGGTAAAAAAGCACACACGTTTGAAATATTTCGGTTAGTGTGTACGAACGAATACGAAAATCCAAAATTATCAGTCAAAGAAGACAGAAGAATACTGCACAGAAAACCAACAACAATGCCATAATTTTTTTTTAATTTATTACATACCACGGATACAAAGCTCTTTAGTCGAAATTTTATCTTGTATTGCCATATTACCGTTTCTTTACTTTCCTTCACATGTTCAATTTATAGAGGAAAAATTATGCTTAAAAATTTATAATTTTTAGTCAATTAATAAATCGATTTTATTTAACATTTAGAATACAATTTTACACATGATATATCTTGAGCTAAAAATTTCCGATGAACAGCTTAAAAATTACTATGAGTACCGCAAACTATTAGTGTTGCTAACAGTAATTTATATTTTATTTATTTATTTACATTTTAGCCATTAAAAGTAACACTCAAAAAGCCGTTACATTCCTAATACAAAAGTACTCAAGAAAACTCTCAACAAATGTTTTGTAAAACAAAGTATGCTGAAATTACAGTAACTAGACTTCTCTGCTAGATTTATGCATTACATGTTTTATACAATCTTGAACAAGAGTTTCTTCGTAACTTTCATCATAGCGAAGTATAGGGCGACCCCTCTTGTAAGACATGCAGGAATTCGATGGATGTAGGAGGCTCAGGACCATGCTTTGTGTGATTTCTTTGGGGAGGCCTATGTTCAGCAGTGGACTTGTGAAGGGCTGTAATGATGATGATGGTAAACAAGAGTTTGTCAACGGATATAAAATTCTTGAAAGCATTACCCATAAACACGTCATTCAGCAGGCAGTTTGGTGAGCACAAAGTTGATAAGCCCCGAATTGATAATGCCCGTCACTAGTTTCTGAGATTTGAATTCGAAATGTTTGAATGATAAAATGTAAATAGAGGGCTTAAACCTTTGATTTCAGTCTTGCCAATCAGGTATCATGGTGCTCCGCGTGCAAGTGAGACATTGATATTTCGAAAAACCTTCTTGTATTTTTCAAGGGTGTATTTTGTAAATTAAGGTTTTATTTAAAGAATAACAAACGAGCACACAGTCCACCTCATAGTAAGTGAGTGCCTATAGACAGCTATCCTGGATAAATAATCAAAATGCAGATGCGTCACCCCTGAGCACAGACTAATATAACGTTTAACCTGAACCTAGCACCACTTGGATTTTTTATTTTAGAGTTTTCATTTTTAATTTTTAATTAAATGTTCATGGTTTGTTCATTATTGTTAGAACATGAAATGGCTTGTTCGTTTTTTAATTATTTATAATTCTTTAAACAAATTTCATCCTTAGGTTGTCTTTATCTTGTTATAAAATTTTAACTTTTACTAAATATCATTTGTTCGATCGCTCTTGATGATTGTTCGATCAAAAATTCTTAATTGTTAATAATTGACCATAAAGGCGACCGAAGCGAGCTTGGGACTTGGGGTACACCGACTCGGACAGGTTAGGTTGAAAGGGCATCCCCTTTCGGAGACGAGTGAGCGAGCCAACTGAAAATGCCTTACGGCTTGTGTGTCGACATGCGAATGTAAATGAATTACTTATATACGTTATTTTATATAGAACAAGGGTGAATGATGTAAGTAGACGCTATGACCCATGGACATCTACATTTATCCTCGATTAAGAATCAAACTGCAGATGCGTTGTAACCACTGAGGAATATAATGGAATGCCTTGTTTCCAGTAAAAAGGGTCTCTGGTTCTCTACACTCACCTTACGACACACAGGAGCATTGTTATTTTACACTGATATTCTGCGAGAGCGTGGTCCTTCCCCGGTAGAGCCAACCAATTCGTGTTACAAGCATAAAATGGCTGCAATGTGGCTCTACCACGTTTCAAGTAACGTTTTAAGAATATAAATGTGTGTGATATAAAATTACAAATTTGAATAGTTCGGTAAAACAAATAATTAAAACATTTTCATAATCACTTTGTAACTATTAGTCTTAAAATGTTACTTTGCAGCCATGCGAACATAACTTTCAATCAAGCCACACTGGCAGCAAACTGGCATACTACGACATTTTAATAGGGTTTTGGTGGGAATTTTACCGCGGTAAATTCCTGCTCGTGTATTATTGTTTTAATAAAGGTTTGTGGATTTTTATTTGTAAAAGTGAGCGATTTTGTCTACTAAATATCTGCGCATGTAAACTATTAGTAAAAACGGTAAACAAGTGCTCTGATAGTAATATGAATCTCAAGATAAGGTGTCTGTCTACTTAGGACACTATCACCAACTATCTGCTGGCTCAAGTATCCGTCAAAATCTCCTATCTCCTAAAAACTACGCAATGAGACGCATCAACATATTGTGAAAGATTATCATCACTCGATACCGAGGTAAATAATGAAGATATGGCTTCAAAGATAAGCATCCAAGCCGAAAATCTTAAAAAAATCATTGTAATAACCTTAAATTGTACAAGCAAAAAAAATTAGTGAGGGCTAATAATTTTGTGCTCACCAGATGTCGCTAGTTGACACTAATATAAAGTTTTTGGTTACACAATGTCATTTAATTGAGAATTCAGTTTTTAATAAAAGTTTAACACTTTCTAGAGTATTATATTAATACACAAAACAATGAGTCAGTGGTTTGCTCTTTTATTTTTTGCACATTTTTAACTTTTTTTTAAATATTTCTACTTTTATGAATATTTGTGATTTAGTTTATTTATTTTTAATCTTATTAATACAAAATATAGCTAATAATATTGAAAGAAACATTAAACTTTATATTTTCCGAACAAATTAATTAACTTCCCCGCTATGAAATCTGTCAAATATCATACCTTACCGTAGAGAGAGAATGAACTACACTTCTACATACTCCCTCTACGTACCTCACTTTTAAGTGGCGTCGCCCTGGTGGCAGAAAAAGTCGTGGATGCCCATCATTATAATTGTGCACATTTCAGAGTCTCAGAGTAATATTAGAAGTATTCATAATTAGCCTAAATTTCTAATATTTAAATTTGCTGATTATTCTTTTATTTTATTTTAAGATTTCCACGTACAAGCCATGAAAACTGGGAAAAATGAAATAAATTCATCCATTTTTTAACACTCGTGTGCCCAGCATTTATAAACGACTCTCATTCTTATGTAAATAATTATATTTGTAAACTATATGTTATATCAATAAGTTTTGTTACAAATAAAATTAGTATGTTTTTTTTTATATTTTACATAGTTACCTTTTAAAATATTCAAATAAAAATATCATTTGAATGTAATTCTGATATAATATTATGTAATAATACATATATTAAATTAGCACATATTATGCAAAATAAGTAAACATTAAGAAAATTGTACTCGATATAATTAACAATACAATCTAATTAAACAATTACATATTACATACTGATCATTCTACCTACGTATAATCTATGATGACAATAAATGCGCATGCGCGACTCTATAGTGCCACCAACTTATTTGTTCAGTTGACAGCGTCGCTAGTGGAGCGCTTACTATTGCCATTTAAGAAATTCACCGAGGAAATAGGTGGCTACATATTCATTACACATAATATGAAATAAAACAAATTTCTTGTTAATATATTAAAATTAGTGAGAATTAGTGTTATTATATATACTATTTATATTTTATAAAATTAATTGTGGTCGTGATCTCGGAGTTCAAGCGACCGAACTCCAGGAATTTGTGTTTTTAAAGATGTACCCGCGCTAGCTACTGGTTCCAATAATTCATCTTATGAGTCACTGGAGTCGCTTTCGCTATCGTCCTAACACTCTATAATAAATGGTTCATCTAAATACGCGTATTTTACTCTGTATTCATTTTCAATTTTTTTCATATGATAACAAATGTTTTTCCACTACACCAGTGTAATTTTATGGAATGCATCTTCAATTAATTTGGGCCTTAGAACATTAGATTTTCCAACAGTTTTACAGTACATTGAGATAATATTTTTTCTAGGTTTCACAAGTACATTATATGGTGATTTTAATTTTCCATATCTGGCAATACAAACCTGTCTCGGTAGCAACGCGTTCATACGGCTTTTCAAATGGTATAGTTGGGGCTTGTAGACGTTTCTCGTCTTTCATAAAAGATAAAACTTTCAGGATAATCTGTCGCGCATCACTTTTAAGAGCTTTAGGCATTTTATTTGCATTTTTTAAAAACATTCACCTGATAGCTCAGAATAAATAATAACTGACCTAGCTTGCTATATATTTCTTTATCTATGTAACTGACAGAGAAATGTCATTTACAAAATGGCGGCCTTAGTTCCAATTTTGTCCACCTGAACAGATAAGTTGGTGGCACTATACTATTTACCGCGCATGCGCGAAGACATAGAGTAGTGCACATTTTTTGTTTGGAATAGCTTCTCTAGTACATAGTACATTATAACTCAATGGTATGAAATGCAGTGGGCAATGCATGATACCCCATATACACTCTCGCGCGAGCGACGAGGCGAGTCGCGAGGCGAGCCACGAGGCGCGAGTGTAAGCGCTAGCTCGTGACTCGCCTCGCAGCTCGCCTCGCCACTCGCGACGCTCACGTCGGAGTCGGTTTTTTGGGCACGAGGCAAAGGGCCTCGCGAGGGACGCGAGTGTGGTGTTTACACTCGCGTCTCGTTTCAGTTTGTTTACGGCGCCCTTCCATAATAACATTCGAATTGCTTT